GGCAGTGAGGGACTAAAAGGCGTTTTCCCTACAGAAYTCATGTCATTTATGTCGGGGGTGGGAATTCTTACAGAGCCCCTGCTTGCAAAATTGGACTTCTTTAAGTGTCGCGTGGAAYACGCTGCTGAAGGGATCAATGCAGGGAATTCCTGTCGCCAGCTCTGGGTACAGCTCATTGCGTCCCCGAGGGCGCCCGGGGATGCCTCAGCCCTTCCACGCCTTCCAGTTACTTCAGCAGAATGTCGGTCAGAAAGCTGCCTCGCAGCCAGAAGTGCCCGGCCGTCCCTGCCCACACGCATGCGGGCGGCCCCGCGGGAGGGAGCGCGCCCCGAGCGGGCGATCTCACGGGGGCACGGCGGGGCCCCGCGCCCCGACCCGGGCGGGACGGAGCAGACRGCGGCAGGACGCGGTGAAGTGTTACGACACCTCACTGATGACTCACTTAGCCATAAAAGAAACGCAATCGGAGCGATGCTTTACCACCCACTTGGCCCTGCTCACTCCTCTCTCTGGAGTCTCCTGTCATTTTGCATCACGCTGCTTCCAGGTGTTCATAAGGCAGCAGTGCATTCCGGCGGGCAGCAGGAGCTTGGCCGGGCTTGAAAAATAGCTTCTCAGTCAATAATTGACTGTTTGGAAACGGCTTTCTGTGCCGGACCAGAGAGGAACGACGTCTCCGTAAAACAACAGTGAATGATTAKCTGCATTTAAAAAAGGCAACAGGCACAGACGTGATCCTCTGTGGCGTGCATTTTACTACAAAAGTATTTCAGTCTGAGGCATCCACTCTGTTTTGCTGACAATGGAACAAAAAAGAGGGGGGGGGGAGAATAAAAAATGGGGGGAAGTGTATTTTTGTATTCAAAAATGTTGGTTGGTTTTGTGAGTTAGGGATTTTTGTTCTGGGTTGTTCGTTGGTTTATTTGTAGAGGGGACAGTTTGTTTTCTAAAGCCTGAGGTGAAAGCACTAGCAACTTCCATTTAATGAATCCCTAAGAATTAAATGCATTATTGCCTAGGCAAAGTGATGAGAGAAGACCGTTGGCTACGGGGTTTGGAGTGTTTCGAAGCACTTTGCCTTTCATACTGTAGGGGTGATCTGATCATGACAAGGACAGATGGGGGAAGACATGAGGGGAGAGGGAGAGGGAGAGGAGCCTGTATTGGCCATGCTTTTCCTGGCATAAACAGTCTCGTAAAGTCGGACGTGAGAGGTGTGTGAGGTGAAGCAATAAACTCGCGTTCCGAACCTTCCCAGCTGCACAGAGATCCCGTGCCTGCCGCAGTGCCGCACGCTGCCTTCTCCGGGGCACTTCCCAGGGCCGCGCCCGTCTGTGCCCGTGGCAGTGACAGCGTGTGCCCGAGGCTGCGTCGCTGTACCGGGGACGGGATGCGCGGTGCTGASTCCCTCACCAAGCCTGCCTGAAGTCACTGTTTTCACTGAGTGATGGCTCAGAGCGGCTCTGCGGTGGCGGCAAACGGGAATGTTCAGCGGGAGAGATAGGGAGATAGGATGCGGATTTCTCTCCTTAAATACTTCCCTTTAGGTCCCTTTGGTTTTGGATTTAGACTTCCCAGCAGAAGAGTGTCAGTCCTCCGCTTATTTATTTATTCCATTTGCTTCTGGAAAGTTTTCCTTGAACAACTATTCCCGTCGTCGTCGTCGTCGTCGTCGTCGTCGTCGTCCCCCCATTCCCCCATCCCACCCCACAAACGTTCACTTTTGCTACTTTTCTGGGAAGGAAAATCAAACCTTCTCTGGGACACCTCTCGACACAGCTTGAAGAGAGGCTGCTATTTGTTTCTCATGGAGCAGACCCTCCAAGTTGGAAATGTGTCTGCTCTGAGAAAAAGACTGAAATTTGCTCAGGTTCTGTGGCCTCTTGGAAGCTGTAAGCAATAGGAGTTTGCCTTAAAATATCATCACACAGAAGCCTCTTCCTCTTGGAAACAAAGAGGTAGAAAAGCTTCAGATTATTTAAAATTAGAGAGTAGGGGGGTTTTAATGTAAATGTACATACATTTAAATAGGGAAGTATAAAGTATTCCAGGTCTTGCTCCTTGTACTAATCAAGGCTGCTGGAGGCTCCCCAAGCCATCATCTTTTATAATTATAATTACACGCGTCAATCAAGACCTTCAGGCAAAGTCAGAACAAGGCAGGCAAACTCAGGAGAGAAATCGCATTAAAAAAAAAAAAAAAAAAAAAAAAAAAAAAAAAAAAAAAATAAAAAAAAAAAAAAAAAAAAAAAAAAAAAAAAAAAGTTTGGAGAACTTGGTAAGGAATGGAGAAGAGATTAGAAGAAAGGGTAATTAAGGTTGCTCAAGGCAATCGTGAGAGCTAGAACTCCATGTTAAATTAAAAGTAGCCACAAGGGACCAGGTATCATTCATAATATGTACTGCCCTAAACTTTTACTTCGGAGAAATGTGGATGTGTAATAACCATTCCAAAGTATTTTCATCCTTAACAACATCTCACAGAGTGACTTTGCCATGTACAGTTGGAACTCGCTCCAAATCCTTCCCTGCAATGTGGCAGAATGATATTAAACCCCCGAGAAGGAGGGAAGAGCCCGAGGATCGGGGCTAGAGCCGTGCCCGCGGGGGAGTGTTCTCCGGGGAGAGTCGGCCCTGTGCGGGCCACCCATCTGAAGGGACACGGCCGCGGTGGCCGCCCKCGGGGGCCGCAGCCCGCCTGACCCCGGCAGCACTCGAGCTGTTTTCGCCTGCTCTGTCCGGATGCGGGGTTTCCTTTCCCGGCTTCCCCCCAAAGTACGGCTGCCTTCCCGGAGCAGCAGCAGAGAGCGGCAGCACGGAGCGCCCCGTCGGCGCGTCGCCAAGCGGCGTGACCCACCCGGCGGCCAGYGGGAGGGAGGGGACCGGTTGTCCCCAATGGAGCCCAGCAGACTTCAGGACCCAGATCCGCAGGTGTTCTGATGACCTGCTGTAAATGAGGCTGGAGCTGTGCTCTGACAACTSTTCTCCTGCGGGGAAGGGCTGCGAGGAGGCGTCGCTCCTCTGCGAACAGCCCCCGGAGTGCTCTGGCCACCCGTCGGGCCCAGGCGGCCCGGCTCCAGGCTCGGGAGGCCGGAGGGCGGCGGAGACCCCTGACCGCAGCCCTCACGGCGGGCGCCCGGGGCAGCGGAGCGGAATCGGCGCGGTGCGGTTGTCGCCGCCACTCTTGAACCGCCCGGGCTCAGCGCAGGGCGATGCTACACGGTGACGCCTGACAGAGTTAGTACATTAGTTTGTAACTAATGCACCTGGGAATAACTTGCCAAGTGCCGAGACATGGTCTCAACCTGAGCTGCTTCTGCCCAGAAACAGGGCCACTCTCTCTAGATGGTTTTCAGCCAACCCGTCTTAGCTGTTCGCTCCCCCTTCCGCTTTTGCTGTCCTAAAACTTATTCGCAGACGACTAGTTAGATTGTAAAATTATAACCTGTTAAATAAGGTGTTGACATCATTCACCCGCTCGCGTTCTTGCACGAAAGGGAATGGCAAATGGAAGGAGACAGAGAGGTCCGAGCCTCTCTGAGCGTTGGGTCCATCCCGCAAATATTAAACGCTGCACAGAGAAGGGAAAAAAGACTTTTTTACTCTGGTGGTGCTGGTGTTGGGTTGGCTCGGGATTTGCGTTGAATTAGAAAAGGTCTCCCAGCTACCGGTCGCAAAAAGTTAAGAGCACAGCCGAGTCCGCTCTCTGCATGTGGAGCGCTCGTCCCAGAGCGGGTACACACTGCGATGATCAGCACTACTGAATAAGTTAAAACAACCGCCAGTTTTCACTCTCTCCCAGTCGATGGGAAATGCCATATTCCGCGCTGGAGATATTTCCGCGCCCCACTTTTCATCGGAAGCAGTTTTCACCGCCAAACATTTTCAGCTCTTAATATATACAACACTTTATACGGATTAAAGAGTCACAGGAGTACGGGCAACCGAGAGCTCGGATGAGAGGCTCGGATGCTTTCCAAGGTGCACATATCGCTCATCCCACACCATTAAACCTATGCGGCTCAGTAGGAAAGGCGCGGAACCGCCCAAACCCTCCCGGCGAGAGACGGGCGGGAAGGCCAACGGGGGCAGGCAGACCTCCGGCCCGGTTCGTCGGGCGGTCAGCACCCATTCGCTCCCGGAGCCCCCGCAACGCCGCGCCGMGGGACTGTTCGGCTCTCGCCGCTGAGGCACCCGCTTGCGAGAAGCGASTTCTTTGGGACAACTTGGAAACGAGTGCCGCTTGCTGCACCGTGAGCAGGGGGGAGAGGTGCTCAAGCCATGGCTCTGCCAGGGCTTTGCCTTTTGTGCAAACGATGCGACTTGCACTGACCGGTTTCGCAAGAAGCTTAGGGAAGGGAGACCCAAAAAGCCTGAATAGGTATACCGAGTTCGCGCTTGCTTGTTTCAGACTCCAGGGCTGCCCGGCGGCAATGTGGCCGCAAGAGCTGGAGCTTCCGCTGTCCACCCCCGCCCGTCCGTRGGGTAGGCTAGGGCCGGGGTCTCCGCAGCCGCTGCTGGCCGGGCGGAGGTATTGACCCACCGACCCCAAGAGAGATTGAGCGTGGCTGCCCACTGGCAAAGAGGCACGGCCGCTGAAGGCAGAGCGGGCGTAGCCCGGTTCTGGGGGGTAGTGSCCCATCAGGCTCTGCTGGGGCGGGGAGGGGAGGCAGCAGCCCAGACCCTCACACTGCAGCTCCGTTTAAGAATCGGGCAGGGAGTGATTGTACTGGGTCACTGTCTGCTCCGTGCGTGTGTGTGCGAGGGGGGTGTTGTTCATCCCGCCTCTGTCTTATTGGCTGCAGCGGCCGTGTCGGGGCCCCCCTTSGCCGGAGACCTCGCTCCCTGCAGCCCCCGGGCTCCGGGAGCGCCTCCCCGCGGGCCCGGGGCTAGAGGTCCCGACTCAGCACCTACGCACTTGTACCGAGGGGAAAAGGGGGAGGAGGAGGAGGAGTGGGAAAAGGAGGAGGAGGAGGGAGGAAGGGAGGAGGGGGACGGGGGTGGGAACCCTGTCCAGCAGCACCAGCGGCGGCAGAGTGCTCCTGTGCACTGTGTCGCTCCGCATGGATCGGGGTGCCGGGCTGCCGCCGCGCTGAGCCCCGGGCGGAGCTGCTGCGGGCTCCCGGGGTTCCTCCTTCCTCCCCGGCACCCCCGATCTTCCTTCTCCTCCTCCTCCTCTCTCCTCCGCCCCCCGCCGCCTGCAACCCGACTGCCGCTCCGCGGCTCCCCTAGCCGCGGGCACCCGGCGGCGCTTCCCGGCGGCCGGGGCCGCTCGGTGCTCCCGCTGCAGCTGGGCAAGGGCTGGCGTGGAGCAGAGGGAGGGAAGAACAGAAGAGGGGGAAGAGGCAGCAGCCGCCCAGCGCTCCTTGCTCCAGCTAAATCTGTGCTGCCGTGTCCAGGTGCTGGTGTCGCGGACGGACACGGAGCCCCCCGCCCGGCTCGCAGCCGCCTTGTCATGCTACCCAAAGTGGAAACGGAGGCCCTGGGACTCGCCCGGTCGAATGGGGAACAGGGGCAGATGCCGGAAAACATGCAAGGTAAGGGGGGAGACGCACGGCGCTCCCCCTCCGCGCACGCTHGGGTTTCTCTCGGCAAAGCGCCTCTTCGTTCTGCCAAAAAAGTTTGCGGCAGTTGCTTGCGAGCTCCCCCGTCACCGCCCGCTCCGCGTCCCGCCGAGCCCCTGCCTTCGCCTTCGCACCCTTTCAGGGTGCCTCGAGCAGGAACCTGGAACCGGGACGCCAGGGCCGAGGCCATAACAAGGCCCTGCTCAGGAGGTGCAAACGGGGCCGAGGACCCGTCAAGCATCTGGTCGGCGGGAGCCTTCCCTGGGGTGCAAACGTCCCGTCGAACACTGCCCGGTTCCGGAGCAGAGCCAAGGGCTCTCGGTCTAAYCCCCGTTTCATGCAAAACTGCTTCGAAGTTTATGGCAGGGAGAGTTATGCATGGAAGTTCTGGCGAGTGCCTCGTGTGTCGCACACCGTCCCGAAACGGGAGCCGAGGGCTCTGTCCCGCGGGTGCGGCGCCCACAGGTACCGTGCAGGTGGTGYCGCGAAACTTCGCAGCAGAGAGCTCCGGCTCCGCGGCGGATTTGTGCCTTTGCGGGGTGCCCCGGCAGGCAGAGGGATGCCCGAGTTGGGATGGCGCTGGAAATGTCTGTGTGGGGTGGGGAGACCGGGCTGTTCCCCGTACCCTGCTCGGGGCCGGAGCGGTGCGCGGAGGTAGGCGCTGCAGACCCCGCCGAGGGTCGGTTCCCTGACTTGGAGCCGGCAGCCCGGTATGCCGGYACTGCCCGCCCCGCCCCGCGCGACTTTCCCGGGGTAGAAATCGCCGTCCCGGCTGCTTTTTAGAAATTATCCCTTCTCCTCTCGGGAGACTGCTGGGAAGTAGGGGCAGGGTGRACCGGGGGCTTCGGAGGTGCTGGGGGCGACCCGATCGCCCCTTTCTTCTCCCGCGGAGGAGGCTCCGTGCAAGGGCACGGCGCTCGGGAAACCCCTGGTTTCCCACTTAGTTTTTCCTATGGGGACGGGAACTTCGTCCCAGCGCCGGACCCTGGAACCGCGACCCCGGGAGCAGAAGGGAGGGTCGGGCCCTCCTACTCCGCCTGCGGCCGCCCCGTGTCCGCCSCACGCCACTGACAGGAGGCGATCCCCGTCCGTGCCGGGGTGACTCAGGAAACGTTTTGCCGGCAGTGCGATGGTGGGATAATGCCCCCGCGCTCCTCAGGAGCTCCCTCGAGCGCTGGGGCGCAGCCCCTTGCCTTAGTAAGCCGGGCGACCGGGCCTGGGGCTTCGGGCGGAGGCTGACCACTTCGGTGCCCCCGAACTGTGGCAGCCTCAGAGTTAAAGACAAAGAGGCACAACATCCTAAGCAGTGCGGCGCCGATACCCAGCGCCTCTCGCCGTATTCAGGAGTCCTCCGCTGCCACGGTGCTTACCGACCAGGTCGGAGATTCARCAGCAGGGAAGGGGAAGGAAACCAGCCCCGCGTTGAGCAGCAGGGTTTCTTCTTAGGAATAACCAGAGCGTATGACTTGTGGGGGGAGCCCGGCTCGAGTGACCGCGCTCCGTGCTTTCATTCCGCATATTTTAGCCCCCGGTTCCGTCCTGACGGTCGGCTCCTCCTCGCCTTTCCCCCGAGCGACACAAACTTCAGGCGGTTCCGGCGTGCAAGTTTCACGCCAGCCCCCAGTATCGGGGGACGCCGGGTCTCCCGGCCGGGCCGACCCTGATCACATCCCCCGAGCACGGCGGTCCCGGCTCACTGTCCCTCTGTCGACACGTGGACAGCTAAAAAGCGTCTCCCCGCCGCCGCAGACCCGCTGGCTGCGACAGCCGGGGGTGCCGGCACGCAGCGCTCGCCCCGGCCCTCAGGGGTGGCGGTCACCCCGAGACGACGTGCTTGGGAGGCGCGGAGGACGTCGTTTTAATCTGATTTTGCGAGTAACTAACTTGGATTTCACGCGGTGCATAAGTGCTGGGTCTGGGATTACACAGGTTTGGTCTACATAAGAATTTGCAGGCTAATGTTGAAAGAAAATTTTAAAGGAAAATAAYTACTTTCAATATACAAGCAACAACCTTTTCGTTCTGCTTTTTTAAAGCTTGCCCCTGATCATTTTAGGATTTAAATGAATTCTTTCAGTTTGTGATTCCATAAAGTAAGGACTAGGCTAAATGCACTCTATAAGTATAAATATTTGTAGCATAAAACTTAGAAGCTGATGGATTTTGTTACATTTGCTAAGTACCATACAATTTGCTGATGATGGAAAGTGGCATGTCTCCATGCAATTTGTTTTTTAAAATAAAACTTYTTTAGTAGTGTGCTTGATTAAGCTTTCTCTCTAGATGAGAGAAGTTGCAGAATATTTGAGTTAGTAATGTAAATTCTAATTGAATGTGCTATTTCTCCTTTCCCCAGTGTCTCAGTTTAAAATGGTGAATTACTCTTATGATGAAGACCTAGAAGAGCTGTGTCCAGTCTGTGGAGACAAAGTGTCTGGGTACCATTATGGACTTCTCACCTGTGAAAGCTGCAAGGTTCTGTATTAATTACTCCATAAAAACACAAGTACAGCAAAAATGTTTCAAATATAAGCAGGGGGGAAARGTATAATTAAATAAACCAGATGTGTAATAATGTGGGTTATTTCTGATATGTTTCTTAATGTATTCACATAAAATAATTAACCATCAAAAAGCTTTAGGACTTTGAAATGTCTTYGAGAGAGACATTTGCACAAATGGAAACAACTTCGACTGTCTTGCATTGTAGTTTTGTCATTGCTTTTAAGTATTTTGCTGTTGTGATGTAGTTCTAGACCAGCTTTCATTCCTAACTATCCTAAATACTGGTTTTAATTGATTTATATACATTCAGAGTATTTCTTTTTCTGGAGGATAAAGTAGGAAGATTACTCCAATGCAGATCAGCTTTGCAAAATCTAATGCAGCTTTCTTAAGATTTTTGTTTTCATCCTTCAATATTGCAATGTAAATTTCTGTGATTATAATAACCATGTGCTTTTTTCATGCAAACTGTAACAGTCAGAGCTCACTTGACAGACCAAGTCAAGCAACCAATTAACACATAGAAGGATGAATATACCTGTATTGGTCTATTATGATATAAGGTTTAAATAATTGTGAATTTATGACATGTCAGAGTTTTCATGTAAAATTTTTAAAGTTTTTTTATAGTTACTTAAACAGTGCACTGTAAGGGAAACTCCTTTGCCAGAACAGTGCAATTGAAAACGTTTGTTTGCATGGAAAAATTAACTTAGCCCAGTATATTTTCTCTAAAAAATAATCAATGAGAAGTGAACGACAAGCACTTACTATGCATCCAGCATGCCCCACTGGGACGTGCAATAGCCAGAGATACTCTGTACTTCTGCTATCTTTGCAACAGTGTTCTTTATTTATGAAAAACTACTTTAAAAGGAAGACTTTAATAATTCTACAGTGATTAAAGAACACAAAAGGAACTGGTTAGTGTCACTATTTCTGCCACCAATGTTGAGGCATAGCAGGGTACAGCCTTCTTAAAGCTTTGACATCAGCCTATAAAACATAGCACTAACACAAAAAAAAAACCTCCTCTGGAGTCTAGTGGCTTTCTTCTGGGTTCAGCTCAGTAATTTAAAATAAACTGTGTAACTTTRTAAGTGCTTGAATGGCATTGGAAAATTATATTACAATCATTTCCATAAATGCTGAAACACACGTTCAWGCAAAACAGGCTAATTTTTGTGTCTATCATACAGGGGTTCTTTAAGCGAACAGTCCAGAATAACAAAAGGTACACATGTATAGAAAATCAGAATTGCCAGATTGACAAAACGCAGCGAAAACGATGTCCTTACTGTCGATTTCAAAAATGTCTAAGTGTTGGAATGAAATTGGAAGGTAAGAGATATAGTCTTGCTGATATCTTCAATTATACCATAAAATTATAGGAWTAAATGTTTTGCATTGTATTTTATATTAAGAAGTTATATATTTATGGCTTTGAAATTATAATAAAAGGTTAATTTGTRCACTCAGTGAAACTGTTGCTTTATAAAAAAAAATCTAGTAAGTAAATGGTAGATCACTAGGAACCAGTCAAAACCATAATCCATGTTGTCATATAAGTATTTAGTTTGATATTTTAGGCTTTTAAAGTTTGAGAATTCATGGATGTAGATTTAATAGTTTTCCAGCTTTTGTAAAAGACTTACTTTAGATTAAACATAAAATTTGTAACAAGTATCCAGATTAGAAAAAAAAAATATTCATTTGCTATGGAGAGTGATCTGATTTTATTTGTGTTTTATCTAGGGTTGGGCTAGATAAAATTGTTTGGGTTTTTTTTTTTTACTTATATTTTTTGACAAGAAGCCAGAACACGAAGAAATAGAAAACAATAAGGGTTTTTTCTCACACCAATTTGCCTTTGAGATTAAGGAACCAAATAATCTCTAAAGTTGTGTCCTACATTTTTGTGATGCTACACCTGCAAGGCTATTGCAATTGAAAGAGAATAAGGCATTTTGAAGTACATTTTTTGATTTYGCTTTCTCATCTACAGAGAACAATGAAAAGTGTACAATGCCCTTTGAGATAACCGAATGCAAAAATATCAACTTGAATTTGTGAATCATACATTCTAACTATGTTATATAAAATATTAAAATACAGATTTCACAGTGGATGACACTTTTCCTTGACCAAAGACAAGCTCCTAATTTCCTTACTGTTACAATTGTACTGAAATGACATTCACCCTAGATGCTTAACCAGGAAAAATCAGGCCAAAGAGGAAAACCTTAAGCCATGAAGGGAACCAAAAAGGATAAGATCCAACCAACTGACTCTGACAAAGGAAAGCTCCTGCTATAACTGAAGATAAACAGAAAAATCAGCCTCCTGCAGTTTGATTGATTCAATACTGTTGTATTTGCCCGAAAGACTAGAACTGACACACTGCAATAAACATCCTGAATCACCACATGTGCTTCCAAATTCAAATAATACAATAACAGATCATAGGGAATCCTTTTGTCATTGCTGGCATTAAGAATAAGGATAAAATACAATTTTCTACTCCTACTTTTAACTCCTCTCACTTGCTGACAATGATACAAGACCAAATTTTGTCTTCTGTGATTACACWAAGTTAAACTTAAATTTAAATAGGAGTAATACAAAAGCACTTGGTAATCCAATTTGGCTCACAGTTTTTAATTGCAGAGTACCTGTGAGGATACCATGTATAAAATTAATTACATTTACTCATGACATAATTAATTTTGTGCATTTTATTTAAAGTCAACATTCAGCAGCAATACTGGCAGCTCATTTTTCCAACAAATTCAAGCAAAGTACCCATAGTTTTWAAGATATCACAGAAAATGTACTTTAGCTTCCTTATCCACACATCCATACAACTTCTTTCCCTGTTTAGAAAATTGGAACAACACATGCTTTCCTAATTGTAAATACTTGWGACATTTATGTGTGTATTTCCCTGATAGTGATATATATAGCCTTAAAAGTCTAGTTCATAAATTACCATGGACCAAAAAAATCATTGAACGTTAAAGTCCTTACAATAAGGTACAGTATTATGCGTATCTAGCATTCATAATAAATTTTTAATGTCCTACTAATCCCTAAGATAAAAAGCTCAAGAACTTAACCTCCAGCAATCTCAGCAGTCTCAACATGTCACTGGGCTGTCAAAGGTTCCCCTTTCAATCTAATTGCTTTTGGGCAAGGTGGGCTTGGCGAAAGCTCCTAACTCCTTACGTATATCCCATGGTGACAGGCACTGCTGTGACAGAGACCACCAGTATGACTCCCAAGGCAGCTGTTRAGCAGGATTTGTTTTAATTATTTCTAATTCCAGAGATATTATAAACCAGAACAGTGTCAATAGTTYCTGTTTCACTTCTACCTTCCACATGGAAGGCAACAAGCTGACAGCTTTCTCTCTGTACATTCCAACTGCAGCTAAACATTTCCATAGTGCTGTTCAGCTGAYTAGAAATTTCAAAATTTCACACCAACCTGAACAGAATCATCAAAAGGAAAGGCTTCCTTTTTGCCAAGAGAAATGTATTTCCCTTTGTGACTATTGAACATTTCACAATTTACATTTCAGATGTTTTGCTGCGGTGGAAGGCAGTAATGGAATGATTATAATGAGACAATGTGGTCTGCTGGATACATCTCAGACAAATTCTGGACTTCAGCCCTTGTTTCTTAATGACATAATAGCTTGATATAAACCCAAATGTACACTGAGATTTCCACATGATCCCATAGCAGGTGTGAAATTCCTGTAGCCATCCATTGTGTTTGTCCCTGTGTCCTAATCAATGTACAGAGAAGTCCTTCTTTGTTAGTAATATATGCATGTGACGTTTAAATCACTAGAAAAAAGTGGCATTTGTTAAGCCAAAATAAATTGTTTTCTTTAGGAATAAAAGTGCAACTCTGAATTTGGAAAAAAAAAACAAACAATAGAAGAGTTACATTTTAAAATTTCTGCTCTTTCCTGATATATGTTTGATTAAARAATGTTGATTCCAAGTGTTAACAATGTTTCTTCCCCCTGTTCCCTGCCAGCTGTGCGAGCTGACCGAATGCGTGGCGGTCGAAACAAGTTTGGACCAATGTACAAGAGAGACAGGGCATTGAAGCAGCAGAAGAAAGCTCTTATCCGAGCAAATGGACTTAAACTGGAAGCCATGACTCAGGTGATCCAAGCAATGCCAACTGACCTGACAATATCCTCCGCAATCCAGAACATCCATTCAGCTTCTAAAGGCCTACCTCTGAACCATACTGCCTTGCCTCCTACAGACTATGACAGGAGTCCCTTTGTGACCTCTCCGATCAGCATGACAATGCCGCCCCACGGCAGTTTGCAAGGCTACCAAACCTATGGCCACTTTCCAAGCCGTGCTATCAAGTCCGAGTACCCTGACCCTTACACTAGCTCACCGGAGTCAATAATGGGCTACTCATACATGGATAGCTACCAAACAAGCTCACCAGCAAGTATCCCACATCTGATATTGGAACTCCTGAAATGTGAGCCAGATGAGCCGCAAGTCCAAGCTAAAATCATGGCATATCTGCAGCAAGAGCAAGCCAACAGAAGCAAACATGAGAAGCTCAACACATTCGGGCTTATGTGTAAAATGGCTGACCAAACCCTCTTCTCCATTGTTGAGTGGGCTAGGAGTAGCATCTTCTTCAGAGAACTTAAGGTAGGTAACAACGTTACATTATATAATCATTCAGTCAAGAAAAAAATACTATTTCTCACAATCTTGTACTTCAAGCGGGAAAGCATGGGTTTTGTTTTCTCCCTCCCCAAGCATCTCATTCTTTATTTATTTGGCATGAAGTAGGCAGACTATTACAAGGAGAAACTTGCCGCTGACTTCCACCTAAGTCTGTAATTAGCTGTAGCAAACAGATTCAATATTCAAATCAGCTTTTCTGTACTTCAGTATTTATCACAACTATTGTTAACATCCAGAGGTACTCATATAAATTCTACTCCTTCCCTGTCAGCATCGTTTACTGTCTGGYTCATACTCAGGGTTGTAAGCACACCTCTTACACCATTTCAAATCCATTTATYTAATTATTTAATTACCTTCTTTAACATATGGAGGAATGCCATTTCTATCCATCTCCATTCACACTTTTATAAAAGTCCCTATTTGGAATATTCAGTTTCTCAATGGGATATTATTTTGTGCATTCTTGTATGTCTAATTAACCATGTAGTCTGAAACCTAAACAGGATAGATATACACAGSAGAGAAAACAAGGAGGAGGTAGATATCTTAAGGCCTCATTTTGGTTCATATCACCACTGATATATGGGGGATTCCTTTAGTCTAGGCTGCTACTATGACTTTAAGATCCTTATTTTATTGGAGCGCCCAGGAAATCCTCATGCATAGCTTTCTGATGGACAGATATTCCCCATTTACAATACTCAGACTTATTGATAGAGCAGCTGTGTGGTCTGTCAAGATCAGGTCTGAAATTTCAAGCCAGAAATTTTAAGAAATTAAGAAATTTGAGATCAGACAATAGATGTGAACTACAGGTTTTAACCACTCTTTTGATACTGAAATTAGCTCTGGAAAGAATAATCTTCTGTCTCAAAAAAATCCTTGAGATGACAAGTATAATTCACATCTGAATTTCCCTGTAACATTGCTAGTTACTGTCTACTACAGAGATCTTGTTGCCACATGTATTTGCAACTGAAATCTGTAAAGTTTTGTGACCACCAGTCATTTCTGACTACTTTCAAGCTACAGCAAAATAACTCACCTTCCAAATACAACAATTACTGTAGAATTTCACTGAGAATTGAATCTACATGGAAGGACAAAAGGGAGATCCCATTGAAAAGCTGTACTCAGAAAGCTTGCTACAACAGTTTGTTTGTCATAACCGTAAGGACATGGATACATGAAACAAAGCTTGAGTACAAGAAAAGCAAGCTGTATATGTTGCATATACAACTCCAGCTTCTCTCCAATCTTTTGTGAGAATGATTGCATGAATCATTGAAAACTCAGCCTATATAAAGAAGAGAAGAGAGGAGATTTACTCAGACAGGAAAGCCAAAATGCATTAAAGAGAGGAAAAGATTTCACATGTTTGCTATCTCAGTTGTATACAATTTTATAGTCAGCTATAAGTCATGCTACCCATTTTAAATATTTTAAAAATTGAAATTGTGAATGTGTTATATTTCCAATAGACTATGTCATAAATATCTGAGAGCAGATTTTTTATCCATGCACCGGGGAGTACTTTAGTTTAGTGTAACAGTGTTAAAAATGACTGTATTGCATATACCTTTCAGTGTACAAWTTTTTAAGTTATGACATGCCCTAAAATTCTATTTATGATTAAAGTGAGAAATTTTATAAGCATTCAATATGCTATATTGGAACAGTTTTGGAGATGGTCTTCACYTCTAACCCAGCCCGGATTATATTCTTCAACCAACCTGTGTTTGCTAGCATTAACACAAAAAATGCAGAAATATGTCTATGAAAATGCTGACCAACTTCTCCTGGTTCTGGATGTATTATACACTATGCAGACTTCTGTATAAAATACATGTATTCTAAAAATGAGCTACATAGAGCCTTGGGCTCATGAACTGATTTTCGCCCATTTGTAGAAGGCTCCATGTTAGTGTTTGTACTCTTTGCATCTTGGAAGATTTAAGGTCTGACACTTTCACACCTTCTGGTATATAGAGATTATTTTTTTTTTAACTGGACAAGATCAACAAAATTGCACAGCATTCCAGACCAATRGCAACTCACTTTGAAATCCATTCACATCCAAAATTTAGGGACCAAATTATACACAATTCTAACAGCTTCAAGTTTTCAATTTCAAAAGCATGTTTAGATCAGACCCTACTTTTTTAACAGCACTGGGGAACAGCATCTCTGTTTTTAGTTAAGAGGAGGGGAACAATATTAAACAAAAGATTTGMAAACCTTTCCTGAATGCAGCTCTCTTCTATCCATCCATGATTTCAGGTCCTTCTGATCAAGGTAGCAAAAGCAGCTATTTCAGGTTGCTCCACAGGGTAAGAATACCTGTGGGAGAGGGTAAAAAAAACAGCCACCTAAGGATATGGAAGATTATAAATGCAGAATGAAGGGGAGGCAATTGTGATAGAGTTGCAATTAGACTTTCAGAACAGCTATCTTTGTTCCTTATCTATTCACAGGTGAGAAATATGTATTTGYTCAAAAAGATGTTTTACTATAATTCCTACCTGTCTAAACAACTGAATATTGAAATGTCTTTCAGATAAAATAGGTGCRTTAGCAGATCTCTGGGACTAAAATTTTTAATTATTCAAATAATTAAACAGTAAGAAAGATAAGTGTCTTTTGTATGAAATTCATGTTGACTTTGTCATGATGAGCGATAWCTTGCACAACTGGCTGTGAGTTACCAGGCAGCATGTTTGCAATTATTTACCGTATCTTTTCACTTGGTTCAAAATTTTGTCTTATACTCCTGTCTTCTCAATTAATATAAAAGAGCAATTATTTTCYTTTCTGCTAAATGCAGAGATTTGTAGAATGCAGGAGAATTAGTCGAATTCAAGAGCAGGTTATGATAAAAAATGCAGTCCCAGCCCATCAGTGGTTTAGGCCACATTTACCCTAGAGATAATAACAAAACAGCACCACTGAACTATAGCTTTTAAGTTTTCATTTTTCTTTCCTTTTGCTTACRGATTTTTTTTAAGAGATCTCAAATGAAAACATCTGTTTTAAAATTTTATTTTCTGAAGCTTTTATCAGCTCATGCCTTTCACAGTCTTCTCACTTGTTGCTCTAAAAATTTTCATCACATCTTTTGGAATATGTTATACATGTAAGGATGTAAAAGGTAAAAATATTGATTAGGTAGAGCTACCCATAGCATGTACTGCACTTAAATATGACCTGTGTATGGATTTGAGTACATAATTTAAGGCTAATATTCACAWTTTCTGAGGAGCAGATCCTCTCATCTTCATGTACAATATCAGAAAATAATGGAAAAATTAAAGAAGCTGACTAGTCAAGATTAATAATAATGTCACAGTAAGATCCAAACCAGCCAATTGCAATCCATAAATTCAAATAAATTTGAATTTAACACCTGCTAAAATGCCAAACATCCATGTATGTTTTGTGAAGTCAGAATATTTTGTAAGTAATAATTAAGTAATGAATTATGGGGGTTGACATCATGTATTACTTTTTTATTCCTAATGACATATGTTTCTGTTTGGTTCTTTATACACAGATGAAATAATACAGAGGTAATGTCCTAATAGACTCAGGATGATAGTAATAGTAATAGCAACAGTAACAGTAACAGTAACAGTAATAGTAATAGTAATAGTAACAGTAATAGTAATAGTAACAGTAATAGTAATAGTAACAGTAATAGTAATAGTAATTAATAGTAATAATATATTATATTAATAGTAATAATAGTAAAGAAGGCTTTTATTTGCTATTCTGGAGCTGCTGAAAGCTCAGTAAATATAAAAGTAAGATATATCCATTTTATCCCCAGCTAAGAAAACTCAGGAATGCCCTGGGGATGCTAGATTTGCAGCCAGCTGTCTTAGTCAGGTGAAAGGTCTTYGTACAAAGCTAAAAAGAAAATATTGCAAGAGTTTCTAGAGTCCAAAGGCTGCCTGGCCCCAAGGAAGGATGCAGACTGCTCCTCTGGACTGGCCTTTCCTCATCAGCCCACATCAGGGAAAATTCAAAGACTGCTTCCAAAGCTAAGTATTCCCAAAGCCATAAAAGAAAGCATTCTCTGCCTGGGCCACGAGAAACACAGGAACAATCCTGTGAACAGTCCTCAGGATACTTTCTTCTGGCTGAGGATCAGAAAATCAAYGAAATGTTAGTAGTTACAAAAAAGACACTCAAAGAATGGTGACTCACAAAACAGACTACCTTGCCTTATTTGGCTATTTTAGTGAGGATGTCATAGGTCAAAGTACTATGTGAGCACAAACCATTTAGTGAATGATTGCAGGAAGAACCAGTGCACTTCATGTTAAAGAAGCTCATCCTACAACTAATTCACTGAGTTTGCAAATTTTGGCCATTCATTGATGTCATACTATGTCAGTTCCGAGCCAGATTTCTTTCTGTATGTAKAAATTTGCTCACACTTACATCAAAGCCTTCAAAGAAACAGTGGTTTAAGCATATATCTCAAAAGGAACTTATTTGTAGAACTTGCACTGAGCATGGCATCACAGATATTTTTGCAGCTCATAAAAGCTTTGTGTTGCATATTCCCCATAAGTGCATCTATATTATCAGAGTTTCAACTTATTTCTATAAGTGCAAACTTAATGTGAATAGGATTAACAGAACTCTTGGAGGCTCATATTTTTCTGATAGAGATGGTAATGCAATACTCTGTATACCAGCTTTAATTTCAAATTTCAGTCTGTATGTAGTTAAGTATYAAGAAATGCATAGAAAATAAGGAATTACAGTACACAAATACAATTACTGAATGGAATTAGCACAGGATGGAAAAAAAAAARAGTAGTTTTGGGGTTTGTTGGGGTTTTGATTTTTGAGAAAAAAGTCAGCAGTTAAATACCTCAAATTTTGTTCTTCAGGATGATGAAAGTTTGATATATTATTTAGACTTAAGTAATCAAGTGCAGTTTGATAAC